CTTTTCAGAGGTCTGATAATGTTATATGTACACTCCTTGTTTTATTAATATTCTAATTTACTGAGATTATGGATTTGGGGTTTTCATGAGCTGTAAGCCATAATCATCGCACTTATGACAAATCACGGCTTGAACTATCTTGCTTTGCTTGCAATGCGTCTATCTCATATATTAGTTTCCCCTTTTACGTTGCATTACTGAAATAAATTAACTTTTGCATGATATTCTAATTTTTCGAGTATCACCTGTATATATGCTTGAATTGGCTCCCAATTGTATGCTTTATTTTGTAACTGACCGCAACCTGCAGAGGATTGTCAGGAAAAGGCCATTCAAAAGTGTTGGGGACTTTCACAAGGAGTGGATTGAGGCTGGAGTCAGTGCATCAAGAGCCACCACACACAGACGGATCCTGGACATGGGCTTCAGATGTTGTATTCCTCTTTTCAAACCGCTCCTGAACAGCAAACAACGTCAGAAGCATCTTACCTGGGTCCAAAATCCTCTTTTCTGATGAGAGCAACTTTTGCTTCTCATTTGGAAACCAAGGACCCAGAGTCTGGAGGAAGAATGGAGAGGCACACACTGCAAGATGCTTGAAGTCCAGTGTGAAGTTTCCACAGTCTGTGTTGATTTGGGGAGCCATGTCATCTGCTGGTGTTGGTCCACTGTGCTTCATTAAGTCCAGGGTCAACGCAGCCGTCTACCAGGAGATTTTGGAGCATGTCATATTTCCTTCCGCAGGCTAGTTTTATGGGGATGCTGACTTAATTTTCCAGCAGGACTTGGCACCTGACCACACTGCAAAAAGCACCAATGTCTGGTTCAATGACCGTGGGATTACTGTGCTTGATTGGCCAGCAAACTCGCCTGACCAGAACCCCATAGAGAATCTATAGGGCATTGCCAAGAGAAAGATGAGAGACATGAGACTGAACAATGCAGAAGAGCTGAAGGTCGCTATTGAAGCATCCTGGTCTTCCATAACACCTCAGCAGTGCCACAGGCTGATAGCTTCCATGCCACGCCGCATTGAGGCAGTAATTGTTGCAAAAGAGGCCCAAACCAAGTACTGAGTCCATATGCATGCTTATACTTTTCAGAGGTCTGATAATGTTATATGTACACTCCTTGTTTTATTAATATTCTAATTTACTGAGATTATGGATTTGGGGTTTTCATGAGCTGTAAGCCATAATCATCGCACTTATGACAAATCACGGCTTGAACTATCTTGCTTTGCTTGCAATGTGTCTATCTCATATATTAGTTTCCCCTTTTACGTTGCATTACTGAAATAAATAAACTTTTGCATGATATTCTAATTTTTCGAGTATCACCTGTATATATGCTTGAATTGGCTCCCAATTGTATGCTTTATTTTGTAACTAACCGCCATACATGATGGGTTACTCTGATAAGGAAGTTTGCATCCTATTTGATACAAATCTTTATTGTCATTAGCTTATCATCTAGTTTGTGTGACACAGTGAACTCTCTACGTCCTTGGGATAATTATCCGTAAGTAACATTACGGACAGGTATGATTTCCCTTTGCCATTAGTCTTAATCGTTTAATTCGTATTTGTCATGGATTTACCAGGCTAAGCCTTGCCCCAATAAATCAGCCAAGGCATGTGATCTGAATAGATTCCATCTCACCTTGTCTAAGCTCGTACTGTCCTTGGTGTCATATTAACTATGAAATATATTACATGATAAGCTCACTCAACAAGACATTGTTTCCATACCGTAAAGAACCAATTGCAAATGATCTTCAATCATATCCTTAAAACAGGCATTTGAATCAAACAGCTAGCATTCTATTTATGTATCCTGCATAACCTGGATAACAGCATTATATGTTTTTAAAGAAACCCATGCTAATATACTATTTTATACTAACATGCTAATTTGATACAAAAAAACAAATATAGTGCTTCTATAATGGTGAGGTACAATTATTTTAGAGAAAGAAACACTATTATGTTAGGACTACAAACAGTAGTAGTTACCTGTTCAATGTTTAGGTCCCCATCCCCCCTCCAAGTGCATGAAAAGGTGAGATTTACTAAACCCCGCCTTCATGGCTGAGATCATCAGCATTCATGATCTCAGCCTATCTTATGCCTTCCCACGGGAAAGCAGTGAGAGGCTATTGCACATGCGTGTCACAAACAGTGCTCTGTCATTGCTTCTTGCTTCTTGTACCAGTAATTAGCTCGTCAAAGCTAAGAACTGGTACATAATATTCACCTGGCCCTGTGTTTCTGCCCACAATACATTATTGTAGAGGCACAGTATTGCGCTGTGTGCCAGCTTTGATATGAAATTATGTGAGATTTGGGGCACAGCTATGCACCTATAAAGAAGAATTTAGCAACACATAGTGAAATAGTATCATAAACAAGTAAATTAACGCTAATTGTTTTGCACCTATAAGATCATTGAAATAGGAACTCCTTAAGGTGCCTCCCCTGTAATAGATCAAGGGGTTAAAACATCCTTTGTCTTTCTTTCCACTGTGAATGGAAAAGGTCCCAGGTCCTAGGATCAGATGTTCAAGCTCCAAACAGTATTCAAGTTTTTTATTTTTATTTTAAACAAATAAATAAAAACAATGATATAAATAAAAGTATAACTACAGTCCAACGCATTTCTTTCATCTTTGTGGACTTCCTCAGGGACAATAAATTAAAAAGAAATGAAAGCAATCACAATGCAATAAACATGAAATGCTCTGACACTCACGAGACACCAATCACGTGGCCTGTAGCTCCAGCAGAGCTGCAGAAAGCAGAGCTAGCCAACCGGACTACAAGGGAATAAAATTATGCAGAAAAGGTATTTCAATTTGGGGAGGCTGGTCATACACTGCCCTCCAACATTGTCACCCCCCACACACAGTCACCACTCCCCATACTACCCCCAGGGCTGGCCTTAGGCCATTAGGCGCCCTGTGCAAAAGGTCTTCACAGCAGGCAGTCACACACAGGCAGGCAGTCAGACAGACAGACAGTCGCACATACACACACACACACACAGGCAGGCAGTCACACACACATGCAGTCAGACAGACAGTCACACACAGGCAGGCAATCACACAGACAGGCAGGCAGTCTCACACACACACACACACACACACACACACACGCACAAGCAAACAGTTACACACAGGCAGGCAGTCACACACAGGCAGGCAGTCACACACACACACAGACTTACCTCTTTCCATTATGGCTGGAAGGGGGAGTGGATGCAGTTGGTTGTTGGGAAAGCAGGGACTTATTCCTTCTTCCCTCTTCCTGTGCATCAGTTACCAGGGTCTTCGGGTAGGTATTGGCTATGCCTCTGCCTCAAGATAAGCCCCGCCCCAGCTGCATGTTAAGCCCCGCCCCCACCCCCCTCAAATTTTTTTTTTTTATAGACCCGGGTGGAGAATAATGAAATCCTCCACCCGGGTACCTGTTTTAGCTCCCTTGGACCCCTGTCACCCAGCCACGTGTGAGCTGTATCGGCCACATTGCACCCCCTGGTCCATGGTGCCCTGTGCGGCCGTACAGCTCGCACAGCCCTAAGGCCAGCCCTGACAACCCCCCTGTCAGGAACGTTTGGGGATCCAACATGCAGTATACAAATACTAGTAATGTATACCGGACCTTAGAATGTTTGCCAGACTAACACTACACACACAAAGAATAGTCAAATAGTGAACGATAATGCAATAGCCGACTTCAAAGGAACACAGAAGGAGGAATAGTAAAATGAAGCCAAAGCACGCACAGACATATAAAATTTACATTTGGAAACCCACCTTCCAGTTTCCTACCTTATGCTAGAGGGTGGCTTCCTGGTGTCCAGTGTGGTGCCTGAGGCTGTTTGGAGTTAGGGGCTGGATCTCCAGCCCCCTCCTCACTGCTGCCTCCAACTCCTCCTCCCGCGTGGCTCTGTTTTCTATCTGGCAGGACGTGACTTGTTCACTTCCTCCCAGCACTGCCAAAAAGCAAGGGGGCCCGGTCGAGCTGTTAAAGGGCCACAGTGCCCACCGGGTTGCCCTAAGTGCATGTTTGAGTTTCGGGTGAGGCCTTATAAAGTCTAGAACTGCGACTGCGCCATTGAAAGAAGGGCTATGCGAGGGCGTCTGATAGCAAAGCTTGGCCTTTGCACTTCCGTTCCGCTGAGTGAGCTGGCTAACTCACCACATCTCTGTCTGTCCACAGCCATAAAATAATCTGATAGTGCCCTTCCCAAGACGAGACTCTGGATCCACCCATGATGAACCCAGGTGTTGGCAGTAATGCAAGATCATACAAGTACTGATTGGTCCTTTTTGTCCCAGGAGATCAGATCACAGATTCCTGCTTTGCATCCACTATTATTCTCTCTTACCTTCTTTATAGTCTTTTATACACATTTTACTTTTCTTACTTCATTATTGGCTAGAACATCTATTGTCTTCCTTGTATCAATGTCCCGCAAAGCAGGAAAAGGGGCCTAGAGCCCTTAAAACTCTCAATTCTTGGTGCCAAGGGCTAACCGCAAACTCCTCCTCCTCCTTCCTCCTATATAATTTAAAGACTAGTTATTTCATGTCATGTTGCCCTTAAAATGTTCTTGTTCATACAGAAAACACACAGTACCAGGTCTGGCAGGGCCAACCTGCAGTTGTCTCTCAGTAACATGGACTAATCCTGATGCATTGTGTCAGGTACCCTGTAATCACTCACACTTGCCTTCCTTAATGGATTAGATTAGCGTTGTTAATGAATTATTTTTATGCCACAGAGCCGAAGCTGTGAAAGGGTGTTTTGTTTTTATCTTGGAACAAATTGCTGCTAAATGCCTTGACATTTCACTGGCCAACTTATAGAACAAGATTGCAAAACAATTTGCTTTACTCAAATGCGGAAAAAGAGCACCTTCACAGGCACAATATAGATGTAAGTGCAGCTACTGAACAACCTCTTTGCGAAAACAAAGCTGAAATACCCTTTGCTATGGGCTGCAATACCGATAATGCTCAGCTGGAGTATAAAAAAACAAGGAAGAGAGCAAGGTAAAAATAGTTTTTCTTTTTATTCACACTTTTTTTGTGTGTGTTAAATCCTTATTTATTGAGATCCTCTTAGCTAACATTTTCTCATGCAGGGGAAGAAATGCACAAATTCACAATTCATACTTTTTTTTTTGCAAATACATTTTTACTCACTAACCATTAAAGGGACACTATAGTCACCAGAACAACTACATCTTAATATAGTTGTTCTGTTGAGTATAATCATGGGAAAGCATTGGATTGGCTAAAAACCAGCAATTTTGATTATATCACCATGGGGGCAGACCTGCGCAACGCTGGAAATAAGGTGAGTTTTAATTGCTTTTAAAGGGGCCAAGGGGGGGCATGCACTATAGGGTCAGGAATACATGATCGGGAGGAGGGGAGTATGATGCCGCGGCACGTGACCGGCAGGAGCGGGCAAAGGCTCCTGGGTAGTGTATGCCAGTCACTGCTGGAAGCACTGAGCGGCGAAAGACGCCGCGGCACGTGACCGGCAGAAAAGAGCAAAGGCTCTTGGGTAATGTAGTTTATGCCGGTCACTGCCAGAAGCAATGAGCGGCTGACGGGAACATCATTAGTCAGCCGCTCACCCTCCGAACATATATAGTAATTTACACAAATTTAGATTATTTAAAAGTTATAAAAAACGAACATTATATATTTCATTAAAAGAAATAAGACCAGTAAGTTGAGTAATTACATGTATACATAGGGGTTATAAAATACTTATTAGATGGTTATAGAATAATTTGCATACGGATATTGCACGCCCCTGCCGGTCACGTGCCGCGGCGTCATACTCCCCTCCTCCCGATCATGTGATTTTCTTCAATATAAAAAATTATAAAAACTAACGCTCGTTTTGAATAATTAATCATCCTCTGTATAAGACACAAACCTTATATATAAAATATTTTTAGTTTTTGCTATTTTAAAAAACATGTAAAATCTTCTGCTAATTCTTGCCTGTAATTGGTGCACTCGTTTTAGGTGCCAATTTTAATTATTGTATATTTGCTATATAAACTGTTCAATGCCAGGTAATTGCTCTTAGCCATTTTTGATAAAGCCCATGAGGTGAAACGCGTCAAATGGTTTTTTACTGTGTAATTCAACAATAAAAACTTTTAGTTGGTACCCTTATTTACAGGACCAATTTTGTTTTATTGTACAAACACATTTTTTATTTTCTCCTGGCATTTTACTGTTCCTGTTTAAAGCAATCCACAGGTGGGGATTATTCCACCAGCGCATTAATAATAGAGCAGTATTCCCTGCTCTATCATTGTGAGTATATTTTATTTCATTTTATATTCTGTTTTCTCTTCCTACTGAGAGCACTATTATTGTTTTTATATACCTTGCAGAATCCTACGAAACCCAAGCCGGATGGACGGACCCACTTCCACAGTAAATCCATTAGCGGGGATTATACCGCTAAGTGCCCTTCAACTAAGAGCTGGTCCAAAGCTCCAACAAATATGAGTGTATTATCCTCCATTTTGCTTCTTTTCGCTAATTCTCTCAGTACATACTATACCATTGGAAGTTTGTTGTGTTCTTTTTTTTCATATACGGATTCCCTGGAAACTAGGAAGGATTAATCTTTGAGGACTGTATATACAGCTTATCTACATATCAGTGAGACGTTTTTATACATATTTTTGGACTTTTTTTTTTTATTCTTTATTTTTGTTGTGCATAGGCTTTTAACAGTCGGTTGTGAGGTACCCCAACGGCATTCCTCCAACGCTTTGTAGACAGTTTAACAGAGGGGTACATGCAATATCTGGCACAAATTTTATGTTTAAAGGTAGTTGAGTAATAACATGGTAGGAAACAAGCTTAGTTAACATTATACTGTGTATCGCTATTGTATTCAGTCATCTGAGTGCATATCTACTAAGTGTATGAATAAAGTTAAGCTAAATGCTATGCTGGGATGCACTCTGCGTCAACATGCTAGTTCTAAGCAATCTTCTATAAGATTGATTCGAGTAAAAAACAATAAAGGGTCTCATGGCAGAGTTTTGCTCGTAACAGTGAGTAGATTCGTTGTGCTATCTAGCCAAAAGAGTATTATGCTGCATAATAGCTAACTAGGCATTAGGGTAGGGCCCACCAACTTGCATTCATATGTTGATGGTAATAGGGAAGCTTAATCTGCGTGGTGTGTGCCGTGGCTGTTATTGTATCGTCAGGTAGCTATTATGCTGGTCAGGAGTGTTCCGGGCTAAGTTATAAAATAAAAAGGGGGTCAGTTGTTATCCCATCAGGCCTGCGCCTCCCTGGCAGCATTAGAAAACTATGTAGGCCGCTATGAGGCATCACATAACTAATAATTTATGTGAAAATAATGGTGAATGCAATCATATAGATTAACAATTAGTAAGACAGCTTATGCGAGACCAAAAGAAAGGGGAGGAAACTTAGGCATCAACCATGGGACATATAATATGTAATCCACAATTTTTAAATAAACTGGTAGCTATGGCATTCTCTGCTTGTAAAAGGGTACCTAGGCAACGTAAAAAGTTTCAAGACCACCAGAGTGTCTGCGCCTCGGCCCCTGTCTTGAGCGGTCATCTCCCAGTCTTGTAATTTGCAGGTTAGCCGGGAGCTGTATTGGTCAGTGTCCCGATCACAGTCAGCCGACTCCCACATCTGGGAAACGGAAACCCCGGTAGTGAGGGTATATGGAGGCTTGCCAGGTGCACCGATGGTGAGGGTAGGACTGGTGCCCCATCAAAGCTCCGTCTGCGGTGATCCTTGTCGGGGTTCTCTGCCTGTTACGCTTTCTGGTAGCCCGCTTTGCTGTATGTTGGTCATCCTCACGGCAGGCATCCTGAGTTCTCCTGTGTTGGGTTGCGCTCTGCTGGTCGGAGGTTGTCGGGGCCATTGTGTGCGGAGCAGGTTGTGCATGTTGGTGGGTCCCGCTCTGGTTTGCTGGAGCGCGGGTGCTGGCGCCCGAGGTTTCCCGCCCTTGCGGTTGCCGTTGCTTGCTTGATCGGATGGCTCCCCCGAAGGCCCGCAGTGGGAGTCCATAATGGCGGCGGCGGGTCACCGGGCGGATCCACGAGGCCACAATTTGAGCTGCTAGAGGGTAGGACACTCCCCTGTCACATAAGATCATGTGAAAGCTCGAGCAGAGATGGTCTAGAGCTTCCAAGGGGTGAGCATATGTATGGTTGCCAGTGTTCCCTCTCTTTGGTCCCTGCTGGGCGGCCATCTTGGATGTGCCCCTGCAGGCTGGTGCCCCTGCTGGCTGTGTAGCCACGGTCACTCGCTTTCTGTGTTTGTTCGTTTGGTTAGTGGGGACTGGGATAACCCCCGGGGGGGGGGGAGATCAGGAACGCTGCTGGGGGGATCCGGTGCCGAAGAGAACGGCCACTCCCCGGCTCCCACTCCTGTAGGCCGCAGGTTTCGTTTCGGGTTCTGGGCTCCGATAGGCTCCAAAAAGGTATCTGTCGATTCTGTGGTGCACCCCCAGTGTGGGTAGCGCACCCCAGTGTGTCTTTGGGCTGAGTAGCCGTCGATATTGCAGTTTATTCTGCCCGCCCGGCAGGAGCTCTTTTCCCGCACGTCTGTTCAGCCTAGCGGTCAGACTCCGCCCCATTTTTGGACTTTTTAAGTTTGTTTTTTATCAGTGCACGGACATTGTTTTATTTAAACATTTATTATCTTTTATACTGTATTATTTTAAACATCATTTTATTATCCACTTATTTTATATTTTATATTTTATTTATTTTTTATTTAGCGCAGCCCTTCACCCCTTCTTTCTTTTTCCATATCATATACATATATTGTAATCTTTCCAAGACAAGAAATTTAATATTTTAGCCAAAAGAGTTACATTTTTTTTTACAATTTGGTTAAATTAGTCTACAATGTTTGATCCCAGTATTAGATTTCCACAATTCCCTGTTCAGTAAAAAAAAAAAAAAAAACACACACACACACACAAAAGGTATTACAAATAAGGTGCAATGTGCTTTTAAACTGAAGTATTCAGTGTTTGTGATTAACACAATATATAATACTCCCAAACCCCAAAACATATGAATACAGTGTACTGTGACATAAGACACAATATAAGTGCTTATAACTACACCAACTAAACTTAAAGGACCACTCTAGGCACCCAGACCACTTCAGCTTAATGAAGTGGTCTGGGTGCCAGGTCCAGCTAGGGTTAACCCATTTTTTCATAAACATAGCAGTTTCAGAGAAACTGCTATGTTTATGAATGGGTTAAGCCTTCCCCTATTTCCTCTAGTGGCTGTCTCATTGACAGCCACTAGAGGCGCTTGCGTGCTTCTCACTGTGATTTTCACAGTGAGAGCACGCCAGCGTCCATAGGAAAGCATTATGAATGCTTTACTATGTGACCGGCTGAATGCGCGCGCAGCTCTTGCCGCGCGTGCGCATTCAGCCGACGGGGAGGAGAAGAGGAGGATCGGAGGAGGAGAGCTCCCCGCCCAGCGCTGGAAAAAGGTACATTTTAACCCCTTTCCCCTTTCCAGAGCCGGGCGGCAGGGGGACCCTGAGGGTGGGGGCACCCTCAGGGCACTATAGTGCCAGGAAAACAAGTATGTTTTCCTGGCACTATAGTGGTCCTTTAAAGACGGACAATCAATCACAGTAGTAGATTTGGGTGACGGTCGCTCCACAATTGAGAGAAAGAAAGTAAGACATTTGGTGTAATAATATAGCTTAAAAAAATAAACCAATTCACGTACAAATGGACAAGCAGGTAAAGACTGACCAGGGCTATATATAGGTCCAAAAACCCAGCTCACTTGAAGTGTGGGTATCATATCCCAATTCGCTAAATAACTGGTGGGCAGCAATGGAAACCAACATATTACTTCTACACAAAAATGTATTTCTGCCCAGTGCATAGTTTGGTCAGGGCCGGTGCAAGGATTTTTGCCGCCCTAGGCAAACAAAACTTTGCCGCGCCCCACACCCCATATGTTCTGCCCACCATGTGACATCACAATGCCCCACCCATATGATCTGCCATATGAGTCAATGACAGTGCTGCACACAGTGTATTTTCTCTGAAAAGGCAGTGTGTTTACATTAAAAAGCCTGCAGGGACAGGCTATAAACACCAGAACCAGTACATTAAGCTGTAGTGGTTCTGGTGACTATAGTGTCCCTTTAATGTGAGGTAAATTAGAGATTAGTGCCACTAATAATATAATGGATTGCCTACTTACCACCAGATGAAAACAAGTTGATGATGGGCTCAGGCTGCAGTCTGGCTCCACTGGTCTGGTGTAGAACAGGGTCTCTGGAGGCTCTTTGCATCCTGTCCCTGAGAACTATCCCCTTCTCTCCTTTCCCTTAGTGTTCTCCCATCCCCTTCTGTCCCTTAGTGCTCTCCCATCCTTAGTTATCTCACCTGCCCCCTGTCGCACCCCCCCCCCATTCCTTAGTGCTCTCCCCTGGATCACTTACTGCCCTCCTGTCCTTAGCGATCCCCCCTCCTGTCCCTTAGTGCTCTCCATCCCTTAGTCTCTCATCTTCACTACCTACTGTCCCTTAGTGATCTCCCCTGCCCCCCTTCCGTGAGAGTTCTCACCTCCACTGTCCCTAAGTGGTCTCTTCCCCCTCCCCTGGTGGTCTCTCTCCCCACCCCTCTCCCATGGTGGTCTCTCCACCCCCACTCCTCCTCGTGGTCTCTCTCTCCCTTGGGAGACTTCGCTGAACACAAATATTAGTGTTTCAAAACAGTAAAACGTATCACAGCAATTATATCATAAATGAAGTTCTGAAAGCTGGATTGTATCATAGTTAACCAGCTGTCTGGGATTTGTAAAGGAATCATCCTGAATAGATACAACTATTTGGGCATAATATAAGCATTAATTATGTTGATCCTGCCAGACCAGGAGGATTCGATCGAGCGCCATTCTTTTTATTTTATATTTGTATATTTCAGGAGATTCAATACATTTATTTCCATAATATCATTAACTTGGGTTGAAATTATAACGCCCAGATAGTTAAAAACATTTTTAGACCATACAAAATCGTACTTATCTCGTAAATCTTTTAGGCTATGGTTGTCAACCTTTGTGGTTACAGCAATTGATTTGGATGCATTAAGTTTGTAATTAGATACATTAGAGTAACTTTTTAATCGCAGATAAGACTTTGAGGAGGGAGGATTCTGTAGAAGTGAGTGTTAATAATATATCGTCGGCATAGAGTGATATTTTTTCCTCTGAGTTGTTTGTTAGGAAACCCTTGATATTCAAATTAGCCCTAATATTGATTGCTAAGGGTTCCAAAGTTAAGCTATAGAGGAGAGGGGATAAGGGACATTCCTGCCGTGTGCCATTGTGGAGATTAAACCAGCTAGATTGATTATTTACACCTACAGTTCTTGCTATTAGTTTGGAGTAAAGAACCATAATGGCATCATGAATCCAGCCCATGAATCCAATGGAAGTCAGCACTCCGTCGAGGAAACCCCAGCTGAACCTGTCAAAGGCCTTTTCAGCATCTAATGTCAGGAGTGGAGTTCCCCGACGGAGTGCGCTGTCCAAAATATCCACTATTCTTCTAGTGCAGGTCTCGGAGGATCTGCCTGGCATGAAACCGACCTGATACGAATGAACGACTCTCTCCACAAATGGTTTTAATCTGCATGTTAAAATTGCTGCGTATATTTTCATATCTGTGTTGATTAAAGAGATTGGTCTATAGTTCTTGACATCTGTTGGTTCTTTGTTTGGTTTTATCAGGGGTGGAGTTTTCGAGCCAAAAAAAACCTTGAGAGTTTAATTATGGAATCTTGATTTATTTTAGATTTAAAGAAAGAGTCGTCCATTCTCCAGGAGTTCACGCATCTATGTAAGGCTTTACCTATTTCTAGTATTACAAAACTATGGTCAGACCAAGTATTGTCTTTAATTTGAATTGTATTAATTTCTTTCAGTGTGTTGGCTTTAACTAAGCATAAATCTATTCGTGAATATGAGTTATGGACTTTAGACAAATGCGTAAAATCCCGTGAATCTGGATGTCTTACTCGCCAGTCTATTCATAATTTTGAAAACAAGGTGGTTGGATTATTATTTGGCAGATATATGTTAACCAATGTGTAAATTATGGTTTCGATTTTGCAGATGATTATAAGAAATCTTCCACAGGGGTCATTATCTATTAATTTTACCTCGTGTTTTAGGTTAGAATCAAAAAAGATTGCCACTCCAGATTTTTTTATTATTTGGGAGGGATGCATTTTTGCAGTTCAGATCGCAACCAATGCGTTTCTTGGAGGAAGGCTATTTGTATCTGGTTAGTCACCAAGGAATCGTAAACCATTTGCTTTTTCCACCTTGTATTTATACCTTGTACATTTATAGACATAATTTTCAACATTAGCTTTTTAGGGTTTGGTGAATACTAGCTCAATAGTACCAGATAGTCTGGAACACAAAAATAATATTATTCAGGCTGACCATGACCCAGTTAACACGAAAATACAGATAACAACACAAACCACAAACACATATGATGAAACAACAACATTTCAACAACATTTAACATTTTAAGTCCCAAGGGCTAATAGCCATGGGTTCCCTAAGTCTTCCAACTTTAGATGATTACGGGATATCTGTGAATACATCATAGAAAGGGGGGATTAAGGTCAAGCATCTGAAGGCTTAGGTGGGACTATATATATATATATATATATATATGGTAGGTGAGGGGGGAGGAAGGAAAAAAAAATAACACCCTTATGTAGTGTTTAACAAATAGTTTATGTCTTTTTGATTCATCTAATTAAATTTCTTATTTAAGTCAAGTATATTGATATAGGGGTCTCTAAGTTTATCCCCTTTTCTCCATACTTTGCCTTTTTCTTTCCTTTACTTATTCTTACCAACCTTGTATTATTTTCTTTAAATAGATATAAAAGTTAGCAAACGATTTGTGAGCAAATATAATAATTGAGGAATTATGCATGTGAAGTTATCACCTTTTACGTCATATTAAATTTAGGTTAGTGAGTATCCACAACCATATTTTAGCATTTCATTTATGCCATAAGGCGTGCCTACTTCTAAGTGTTCATCTTGTGCTGAAAAAAAACCCCACCTTAATATAGTGTTTAGCAGATAATTTGTATCTTTTTGGTTCGTTTGAATTTCTTAATTGATCAAGTGTATTAATATAAGGGTATCTAAATGTATCCCCTTTTCTCCCTATTCTTTCATTTTTCTTTTCTTTACTTATTCTTACATAACTTGTATTTCCTTTAATTAGGTATATAGGTGAACAAAAGGTTAGCGAACAAGTATAATAATTGAGGAATTATGTATGTGGAATTATCGCCTTTTACATCATATTAAATTTAGGTTAATAAATGCCCACAACCATACATTAGCATTTAATTTATGCCATAAGGCGTGCCTATTTCAGAATATTCATCTCGTGAAAAAAAAAAAAAAGTTATGTATATGTATACATTGTGTTTATGTGGACAAAGTGTTCAACTAACGTTGAAATACAATAAACAACTAATATTTAAAATTATAAATTAATTTCTCTCCCCCTCCTATATCACCCAACTCCACCTTAAACGTCCCCATTGGAGATTAGTTTAGTGATCTATTCTGCAGCCATGTCTTAAGCTTGTCTGATTGATCAAAGATCTCTGTTTTTCCATCTATCTGAATCATCATCCTCGTAGGGAAGCTCCATCTGAATCTGATGTTGTGTTTCTTCAAAATATTGATTTCAGGCGTAAACACTCTTATTTCTAGTATTGTAGGATAGATCTGGGAGTGCTATGATGTTTGCATACGGACCGTCCTTTATGACTTTTTCTCTATTAGCTTTTAATACTTGCTCTTTGAATTCATACGAGTGAAAATAGGTAATTATATCTCTTGGAGTTTCAGATGCTATGTTTGATGGTTTATACAATCTATGACATCTGTCAATTTTCTCATTGTGACCGTCCAGTTTTAAACCTAAAGCTTTAAAGTAGTCATGTAGCATATGTTGCAGATTTTCTTGCTTGTTAGTATCGTTAAAATTACGAAACCTGAGGTTTTTCCTGTGAGATCTATCTTCAAGGTCTTCTATTTTATTTTCAAGAATATGAATCTTTGATGTCCATGTAGTTACTTCTTCATTCAATGATACTATCTGAAAATCTGCATTCCTCAGTCGATCTTCCATAACTTGGAATTTTTCAGTTAGTTTAGCTATTTCACTTTTTATTTCGTATCACATTTCCGTGGAAATTTTTGAAATTTCTTTCTTTATTTCTTCTAAGATAGATTGTAGACTTTCATTGAAAACTTTAGTGGTAACTTCTTCCTTATCTTTGTTGTCTTTGTTTATATCCATGGTAGATAACTTTTGGTTTGTTAATGATAGTCGGGGTTTATTCCCTTTAGAATCTTTAAAATGGGGAGAAAAGAATCCGTCCAGGTTTTTTTCTTGATGTGTTTCTCCTTTATCTCGATTGGATATGAGTTTAGGGTCTTGGGCTGATTAGACGGCATATCGGTCTATCGATGTATCAGCATGTCGGCGTTTCACAGACCGCCATCACATTCCCCTCCTCTTGACGCACGCCTACGTCCTACGTCCGCGTCTGCATCCTGCCTGAGGCGTAAAATATCTCATTCTAAGTGTATTTTGATATAAATATATTATTAATATCAAAATACAGTTAAAATAAAATCACACATATATATATATATATATATAATTTTTTATTATTTTAAATATTTTTTGTTTATTTTTAATTATTAATTTTTTATAGTAATATATACATATACAATATATATATATATATATATATATATATATAGAGAGAGAGAGAGAGAGAGAGAGAGAGAGAGAGAGAGATAGATATATATATATATACATACATATACACATGTGTAATTTTACATGTATATATTAATAAAAAATACACTTAGTAGGATGTTTTATATATATATCATATCGATTTATTATATCGATTTAACTTTTTCACCAGCTGGGGGACTGCCTGTCAGACAGTCCCCCCAGACGGAGAGGAATACCGATCGCCAGCTGGGGAACTGTGACGATCGGGTAAGTACTAAGAATACCGTGGACGTACTAGGTCCAAAGTCCTTATGTCCGAGGTCGGGAAGGTAGTTAAAGGTTGACAGCATTAGTCAGCGTGTGTGTGGGTCACTGTATGTGTGTGTAGGTCACTATGTGTAGGGGCCACTGTGTGTGTGAGTCTCTGTGTGTGGGGGGGCATGTGTGTCTGTGTCACTGTGTGTGTGGGGGTCACTGTGTGTGTGTGTGGGGGGGGTCAGCATGTGTATGTGTGTGAGTGGTGTGTGTGTCACTGTGTGTTTGGGTCACTGAGTGTATGCATCTGTCAGTATGTATCTATCAGTGTGGTTTGTATCTATGTGTGTATATCTCAGTGTGTATGCACATCTTTGTCGGTATGTGAGTGTATATTTGTGTGTCAGTATGTATGTATATATCTATGTGTGTCTATGTGTGTATCTGTGTCAGGATGTGTGTGTATCTATGTGTTCCAGTGTGCATGGGTGTGTATCTAAATGTGTATCAGTTTTTATATATATCTGTGTCAGTGTGTGTATATATTTATGTCAGTATATTTGTGTAACTGTGTGTGAAAGTCTATGTGTATATGTCAATACATTCAGGCATTCAAACACCAACACAATACAAAAATACACCCCTTCATTCAAATGCCAACACTACACACACACATACACACACAACTGTATGCAAATGCCAACACCACATACAAACACACCACAACATTCATCTGATAACCGTACATACAAATACACTACTACATTCAAAAACACACATACTCCATGCAGAAACATGCTTGCATACACTGCTCACAAACACAACCCTCCAAGGATGGGAATATGGTAGGTCTTCAGCTATCAAAGCATTGAGGGATTTGCATAATAGTTAAGGATCTACCTTTTAGCCATGCTTGCACTAGAGGGGGCCTCCCAAAAATTCTTCAGTGTAGCTGGAGGAAAAAAAAATGCCCTTTAATGGAGACTATCAGGCACATGCATTATAGTTGCCAGATACATACTGGATGGGTGCAGCAATGACAGCTACATATCTATAAAACAGGTTACCTACAAAAGCTACATATTACACTTTTAACTTTAAAAGTTACGAATTAACACTTTTAAACCCTTACATTATAAACATCTGAGCATTTGGATCCAAAGCTTATGCATTTGTCTCAGGATTTAAATCACCAAAGCTTGACAACAGAACTGATGTAGGTATCATGCATAGATATGAAAGAGGATGTCAAGGCTACAGAATCCTGAATCCAGGAACTGGAGAAGTTAAAGTGAGAAGTCTTGTTTATTTTAAAGAAGAGAAACAAGCAACGAGTGGTTCTGACCTTAAACAATGTGGAGAAGAACAAACTAATTTTATTGGAGCTGCTTGTGCAATGGCCAGATTAAAGGGATCCTGTCTTCATACAGTGGTCACAGGCTGGGGCCTTAGCAACAGATGTCTTCACTCAAGGAAGTACACAGACTGAAGCAAGAGTAGAGCAAGGAAATGGTTTAGCTGAGCCGGATCATGCTGATCAAGGTGATTAACTTTTGGAACCAACTCATAGACACCAATCCAGAAAGAGCAAAGGAGTTACAGCCTATCCAATCTTGCAAAGCAACATCAATATGATAGGAATGAAGGAGCAAAAAAAAAAAAAGAAACAGAATTCTTAAACAAAAACAAAACTTGGATTCCACTCAGTTCAATAAAGGTAAAACCTTCATAGGCAATTCCGGATTAACATAGGGGCTGATGGAGCTGCAGCCCTTTAATTTTTTTTTTTTAAATCAAAATTATTATTTTTTATTTCTCTTCACCTGTTTTGTTTAAGTATGGAAACTTAAAAGGGATGCAGGGGAACAGAACGGGTGTGGTCTGGCTGACAATGAAAATAGTTCATGTAAAGCTGACTTTGTGCACTATGCAAATGCTCTTGCTGCTTCAGTCTCTCTAACACTGTGGCATGTTCTTTCTTCTTCACTCACTACATAGACTTTTTCTCTGTCCCAGACTGTGTAACAGGAGCTGCTGCCAGCAAGTAAGAAGGTAAGGAGAGGAGTGGGCCAGCGAGTGCTAGGGGACAGTCCTTAGAAAGCATAAAGCTATCACATCAAGCTCAGAGTGTGTCTGCACAGTATACCCTTGGTTGGTCATCCTGCATGATTGGCAGGCAGCCTGACGTGCCCTCTAATTCTTCGTGCAGACCTTTTTGGGCATGTTTATCCCTTTTAGATGTAGTATTCTTTCGAAAGAGGCCACAGCAAGCTGAAAACATCATTTCCATGAAGGGGTGTACGTGGTCAGCAACAATCTCTAGGTAGGTGGTGTGTAAACTTAACATCCACATGAATGCCAGGACCCAAGGTTTCCCAGCAGAACATTGCCCAGAGTATAACACTGTCTTCACCAGCCAGCCTTCTTTACAGTGAATCCTGCTTCCAACTCTTCTCCAGGTAAACAATGTACTCGCACCCAACGTGATTCATCTGGCATTGATCTTCCATTGCTCCATGGTCCAGTTCTGATACTTACATCATCATTTAAGGAGCTTTCGGCAGAGGACAGGTGTCATCATGGGCACTCTGACTGGTCTGCAGCTGTGCAGCTTCATAAAACAGCAAACTGCAATGCACTTTAAAAAAAAAAAAAAATCTTTCTATCAGTAGCTTTTCTGTATGATTGGACCAGACAGGCTAGCCTTTGCTCCCCATGTGCATCAATGAGCCTTGGGCACCCATGACCCATGACGCCAGTTCAGCGCTTGTCCATTCTTGCACCAATTTGGTAGTTACTAACCATTGTGTACCAGGAACACCCCAGAAGACTTGCTGTTTTGGAGATTGTAGCGGAATGTACGATTGCCAGATACTTTTTATTCCCCTTTTGAGGCTGTCCGTATCCCCTGTAGCAGAACATCCACCTTTCGTGTGTTTTTCCCCTTTTATTTTGTGTGGTTCCTCGTTGGCCGTTCGGGAGGTTCATACATATGGAATCCCTGCGTCTCCCGAACGAGGCCCACCCCTGTGGCACATTAAAACGTTGACACCAACCACTTAAATGCGAAACCGCAAGGGATTCGCCTGGGTGACTGCCAGTTCTTATAACCGAACACATGGCAGAGAGCTTGGCAGCAATCTTGTCTCCCGAACGTGGACAGCGGTACTTGGTCGTTGAGTGCCTGGAAATCTTTTCGGCTAGGCACTTGTGTGAAGGCCGGTAAACCTTGGACCGCTGCCCGTCCCAATTCCCGACCACCTACACAAACAATGTTCAGGAGATAGGAACTACCGAACAGGGGGAGCAATTGTATCCTGAAATAAAGAGATTCCCTTGTATGGTGTTCGCACAAGAACCAAACGAATGGAGACCGGCCAGAGCACCAATTTAACAGGAATTGATTTGGGCTAGCACCTCGTGTCTGGCTGGTCAAAATTTTACCACGATGCGATTCCCATTCTGCAGAACATATCTGAGTGATTCTTGGATATGTTGGACACTCAGATCAGGGTTATCGGGGGAATGTACTTTTCGTAGAGATTTGGGGTATGGTTGAGGTACTTTTGGGGTACAGGATATTTTGTTGGATTTTCTCAGCAATTTTCTCTCAGGCACAGAGGATCCTGGATTTTAAAACCCTGCATTATTGTATGTGAAACCCCGTGCATGGGACTGGGCATAAAAGCTGTGTATGTGCCAATAAACTTACTTCAGTTGTACCCCCAGAGCTGTGTGTCGTCCAGTTGCTGGGGAGGAGGTGGGAGATTCTTTGACTATTTTACTTGTTCCTGACTGTACTTTGGTGTAACCAGCGGAGGAGAATCCCTGCTAGGAATAGGGCTCCGCTACAGAGATGCTCTGACCGAGTAGTCTAGCCATCACTATTTGACACTTGTCAAAGCAGATCCTTTCGCATGCCATCTTGTTCCCGCGAACGCAGGCAGCGGTGTTTGGTTGTCGAGTTCATGGAACTGTTTTTGGACACTGAAACCCGAACACCGATGGACTTCCAGGATCGCCTGCATTTGGTTCTACACAACTTAGAAGGGCACTGTTAAGTGGAAATGTTCCCACGAAGAAGGTGAACAAGCTCCAAGGTAAGAACACTGACTATGTTTGTTCGGTTTTTAAACTACCAAACTAGACCGACCGCAAGCCTTGATTCTCTGGAACTGTTTTGGACATAGGACAATGCGTGCGCTGTCTCAAATGATGACTTCAATGGAAATCCCGAACCCCGGAACCGATCTGAGTGATTTTTGGATATGTTGGTCCCCCATATCGAAGCTATCAGGGGGTATGACATTTGTGGGTATTATAAAATGTATGTTTTCTGTGGGTGGAGATTACTGAGTTTAGTATAGTTCCTGACTCAATTATCTCCCAGGCACAGGAGGGATTATCTTGTTTTATGTGGGAGTGTCCTGGACCTGAGAGCCAATGTAATCCTGTGTATGTTTTTACTGTAGTCTACTCTCAGGTCCAGTTGTGGCTGCCATTAAACAGTTCAGCTTCACTCTCACCACAGAGCCTCGCCTCGTGATTGTAGGGAACTGCTATTCCAGCTATACCAGTTATATCACTAACTCTTGTAAGATCTATCCTGCTATACTCTCTGGAGTAGAAGAGGTCTACTCACTGGAAGCTGGATCCTTGTCTTGGGTCCAGGGTGGTTGGAGGACCGCAAGACTCCAGCCAAGCTTCGCCGGCTAAGGGCCTACGGTGCTGATGGTGTCTGGTGCGGTGCTTATGGTACTCAAGGCTTACTAGTAAGCATCAATTGGCGGAGACACCCAGTCGGGGTGCCAGGCAGTCCTTCACAACCACGATTGCTTAACCAACTTCTAAAGGAGCCAAAGCCAATCTGACTGATGGAAGGCAACCCTAGCTGTATATAGATGGTGTAAACGGCGAAAGTAAATAAATGAAACAAGAACACTAACAATAGATGTCATTAAATAAGAAACCTGTACCAGAAAGGATTTATTAAGATGCAGTACTGCCCATCAGCAGAGACGACAGCTGACATTTTGACAAAGCTCTTGCCAAGAGACAGTGTAGAACAACTATTATTATTATTAATTATTATTTATAAAGCACCAACAAATTCCGCAGTGCTGTATACAAACATAGATAAACACATACTGACACAGAGATGCACACACTGACACATGTACAGGTACACACACTGACAGATCTGCTGATCTCCTCAAAACTCTGCTGCATCCCCTGCCCCTGACAGCCACGACCCCATAGTCCATGACAGAAGTGCCTGAGTGGCCAGACTTTTCTTGCCACCAGGGCACTTCTGACACTATAGCCACCACAGCATGCTTTAATGGTTCTGGTGTTTGGAATGTTCCTTTAAACTCACTATATTCATTGCATTACTTTAATAATGAATCATGGTTCTTTCATTATCAATGTTGTTATTATTTACTTGTGATTGTGATGTAATCCTGATGTGACTATTTGGATTAGCATTTGAAACATACATAAAGCCATTGAAAAACGAACTTTCACTGACACTTTAATCAACTTACTTTGCAATAAGCTTTGATTAATTAATAGCACACTATTAAAGTAATCATTAATCGCTTTACTCAGAGCAATTATTTCAATGGTCTCTCTTAATAGCTACACCACAGCTGGTGCTGAATATCCCCGGTGCAGATAAATAACTACATTGCAAAATTTATGCTAAAATAGCCAAGTTGGAGAATTTTTCCAAATCAGCTTTTCTGGCCTAAATTTTTTATAATTTCTATAAATATATATATTTTTTTATTCACTACTTCAGTGTTTGGATATGCCCCAAAGTTTAGAGAATGAGTGGGAAGCGTTTTATTTAAATTCTGTAAACATTGCAGTATCATTTTTACAGTGAAAGGAGTGGAATTATACAGAAAATGAACATGTGGTTTTAGGTTTTGTTTTAATTCTCTTGTGTCACCACCTCTTTACCTCTCCCTCTGTTCTTATAATGATAGGAGCTATCAACCCTCTCCCATAGGCGCGCGCAGCCTGTTGCATTAGGGTGTGCACCCTAAAGCACAAACACACGCCGCGTGTATATGTATGTGTACATATATACCACACACACATATATATATATATATATACACTGCTGTGTGTGTGTGTGTGTGTGTGCTGCATGAGGCTGGTTTGAGGGTGTTGTGTGTGTAAGGGTGCTGTGTGTGTGTAAGGGTGCTGTGTGTGAGGGTGCTGTTTGTGTGCTGTGTGTGTGTGAGGGTGTTTGTGTGTGTGTGTGTGTGTTTGTTAGGGTCCTGTTAGTGTGTTTGTGAGGGTGCTGTTTCTGTGCTGTGTGTGAAAGGGTGGTGTATGTGTGTGAGGGTGCTGTGTGTGTGTGTGTGTGCTGTATGTGTGTGTGTGCTTGTGGGTGCTGTATGTGTGTGCTGTGTGTGGGTGCTGTATGTGTGAAGGTGCTGTATGTGTGGTGTATGTGTGAAGGTGCTGTATGTGTGTGGGTGCTGTATGTGTGTGTGTGTGTGTGCTGTATGTGTGTGCTGTATGTGTGTGAGGGTGCTGTACGTAGGCGTGCGCACGGGGTGTGCCGGGTGTGCCTGGGCACACCCTAATCCCCGCGGCACACCTCTGGAGTGAGACCGACAGGGGAGATCTCAGGATCTCCCCTGTCGGCTCATGCAGAGCCGGCGCTATCCGAGCGCCAGCTCTGTGCTCAGCCTCCCTCCCCACCGACCCACAGGCAGGGAGGGAGGCAGGAGAGGACCCGGGGAGCTATTGCCGGCAGCTCCGCCGGGTTCCTCTCACGAGATTAGTTCACTCACCACTGGACCACCAGGGAAGGCAGCAAGGAAGGTTCCCCTCTCCCTACATAAGGTGAGAAGGGAAGGGGGATATTAAAGTAATCTGCCCCACCTCCACTGGACCACCAGGGAAGGCAGCAAGGAACAAGAATCCCCCCTCCCTACATAAAGTAAGAAGGGAGGGGGGATATTAAGTAATGTACCCACACACATACAGCACCCACAGACATACACAGCACCTACACACATACAGCACCCACAGACATACACAGCACCGACACATACACAGCACCGACACATATACAGCACCCACACACATACGGCACCAACACACATACGGCACCCACAGACATACAGCACCCACAGACATACAGCACCAACACACATACAGCACCCACAGACATACACAGCACCTACACACATACAGCACCCACACACATACAGCACCCACATACACAGCACCCTTACACACAGCACACAAACAGCACCCTCACACACAGCACACAAACAGCACCCTCACACACACACAGCACACTAACCGTACCCTCACAAACACACACACAGCACACTACCAGTACCCTCACACACAGTACATTAACAGCACCCTCACAAGCGCACACACACAAACAGCACCCTCACACACAGTACATTAACAGCACCCTCACAAGCACACACACACACAAACACCCTCACCCACATAGCACACTACCAGCACCCTCACACACACATCACACTAACAGCACCCTCACACAGCACACACACAGCAATGTATGTGTGTGTATATATGTGTATATATATATATATATATATATACATATATATGCATACATACATATATATACGCAGCGTGTGCTTGTGCTTTAGGGTGCACACCCTAATGCAATAGGCTGTGCACGCCTATGGTGCTGTATGTGTGTGCTGTGTGGGTGCTGTGTGTGCTGTGTGGGTGCTGTATGTGTGTGTGGGTGCTGTATGTGTGTGGGTGCTGTATGTGTGTGAGGGTGCTGTATGTGTGTGAGGGTGCTGTGTGTCTGTGTGTGCTGTATGTGTGTAGGTGCTGTGTGGGTGCTGTGTGTGTGCTGTATGTGTGTGGGTGATTGTGGGGGTGGAGGTGGGGGTACCTTTCTTAATATCCCCCCTCCCTTCTTACATTATAGGGAGGGGGGATTCTTGTTCCTGCTGCTTTCCCTGGTGGTCCAGTGGAGAGTGAACTCTAGCCCCTGAGCGAGATCTCCCCTGCCGGTCTCAAGACATAGGCGGGCCATGGAGATTAGGGTGTGCCCAAGCACACCCGGCACACCCCGTGCGCACGCCTATGCCCTCTTCCATCTGTTTTATTGCAACCAGCTGCACCTTCATTTTCTACAAGTTTTATATTACACTACAGATTTCTAATTCTTATTTGTTAATATACAAATATTGAAATTCATTCACTTATTACCCATTTGCCGTATATCATCATGTATTTGTTTATTGTTTT